GACGACGACGACAACGGCGACGAGCTGATGACTCTGCCACAAGTTCTGGACACGGGGCGGGCGGTGGAGGGAGGAGGAGGCGAAGCCAGCGCGAGTGGTCAAGGTTTGAGCGCCGACGGTTTGGGAGCCCGACGGCGTCGAGCGATGTACGCCGTCTGGCAGCCGCGATCGTGCAAGGCCGACTGATGCACGCGGCGTCAGTCTTGAGTCGGGCGTGTCCCTCTACAAGAGGAATAGTCAAAATTAGTCCAACAAATGCTATGGGGACGTTTTGTTCTTGAACTGTTTGGTATTTGTTGAGCACGTTTTGGCTATGCTTAACTTTTCGTTGAAAATCCTCGTGTAAGAGGACATGCCCAACTTATTGCAAGGCCGACTGATCCACACGGCTTCAGTCGGACGGGGCCAAGACGAGGGTAAATCTGTTCCAGGGCGTTCCTGAATGCTCTCAGAGCGTTCGACAGAACGCTCTGAGAAGGCCGGGGCGCAAGAGAGACATCCTCCAGAGCCGCCGGATCTTTCATTGATTCTCGACTTTATCCTCACCCGATGTGATCCTCTTCCTGGCTTCGTAATATTTCACTAGCTCAAAGCAGACGTTCAATCCAGACAACGCGAGGGCTAAAACAAAAGGCAGGCTCCTCGAGATTTCGGGGAGGGAGATCTCGGGGTAGGGTTGTACCAGGGGGGCCAACGACGAACGCAAGCCATGCCCCGAAGTCTCTTTGGCCGATGTGCGAGTCCTCGGTGACTGTACTCTGTTTGGGGATTGGGAGTGTGCTTTTGTTGTCTTGGCCGTTCGTCGTAAGTCGGGCGTGTCCCTCTGAGGGAGGACAGTTCAAAAACCATCCAACAAATCATCTGGGGACGTCTTCTTTCCATTATTTTTGAATATCGTTTGGATATGTTTGGGGTATGCTTGATTTCCTGGCATCGCTCGGACCTGTGCATTTTGTTTCAGCGAGAGCCATCGAAGACCACCCTGGACCATCGAGCAAAACAAACACGCACGAAACCGAGGAATGCGCGGGAAACGGACGCCCGAGCGACGGCAAGATTTTCGTCCAAGATCCCCCTTGTAAGAGAACCTGTCCGACTTCACGTTCGTCCGGGGCCCACGCAGCGGCCGCCACGGCGTGCCGAGGCGCCCGCCGAGGGCCGCCGCGGGCCCGCCGCGGGCCCGCCCGCAGGTGCGCCGCGTCTGCGCCGTCATGCGCGCGGCGGTGGGCGCCTGGGAGCAGCGCGCCGCCGCGGGCGCGGGCCGCTCGGGGCGCCTCCGCCGCGCGAGGGCGGAGGGGGCGCGTCCTCCTCCTCCTCCTCCTCCTCGTCCTCCTCCTCCTCCTCCTCGTCCTCCTCCTCCGCCTCCTGCGCCTCCTCCTCCTCCTCCTCCTCCGCCTCCACCTCCTCTCCTCCTCCTCCCCTCCTCCTCCTCCTCCTCCTCCTGCACCTGCACCTCCTCCCCTCCACCTCCTCCTCCTCCTCCGCCTCCTCCTCCTCCTCCGCCTCCTCCTCCTCCTCCTCTGTCGTGGAGGTCGGGCATGTCCTCTTCAGGGGGAGTATGCAAGAACAGTAACAAAAAGAGTCTCGTGACGATTCCACGTGCTATTCTGACTGCTACTGATTATCTGCTGGGCCATGTTTGAACTGCTCTTCCAGAGCCCGTCTGTAGGAGGACATGTCCGACATGGGCCTGCCGTCTTGGCACCGCTCGGACGCGTGCGTGCTTTTCCTCGGCGGGGACCCTCGACATGAAACAAAAAAACTAACGCACGAAATCGAAGGATGCTCGGGGAATGGGCGCCCGAGCGCTGGCGAGCACCTCTCGGAGCTCCGCGCGGCTTTCCGGGGAGTGGGCGCTGGGCCCCCCCTGGCGGCGCCTCCGGCGCCGCCCCTGGCGCGCTCCGCGCGCCAGGGCGTGGCATCGCTCGGACGTGTGCATTTTTCCTTCGGCGAGGACCATCGAGGAGCATCCTTAATCATTTGGCGAAAAAACCACGCACGAAACCAACAAAAAACACAGGGAATGGACGTCCGAGCGATGGCCAGCAGGGCGTGGGGAGTCCAGCGCCGATCCAAGAAATCCCGAAGCTTACATGCGTATGCCGTTGTTTGTTCTTCCAGGGCCGGGGGGGGCCCTGCTGTCGGGGGCCCCCGCACGGTGTGGCGACCACACCGCCCAGGGAGTCGGTGAGGCTCCTCAGACGGGGCTAGGACGAGGACAAGTCCGCTCCAGAGTGCTCCAGGACGCCCTCGGAGCGTTCCGGAAGGCTCCGAGAAGGCCGCGGCGGCCGAGGCATCCTGCAGGGCCCCGCTGGACCTCAGGGGTGCTCGACTCGTCCTCGCCCGAACTTCTCCCCTCGTCCTGGCTTCGTCTTGGCCTGTCGGGGGCTCCCAGATGGTGGGGTGACCACGCCGCGTGGTGTGTCGGTGGGAATTTAGGTTTTACGTCGGGCCTGTCCCTCACTACAGGAGGAGCATCCCAGAATTGTCAAAAGAAGTAGTCTGGGGACGATTCGTCCTTCTACAGGAGGAACATTCCAGAAGTGTCAAAAAGAATTGTCCACAAGTAGTCGGGCCTGTCCCTCTACAGGAGGAACGTTCCAGAATTGTCAAAAAATAGTCAGGGGACGCTGTTTTTTAGCATGTTGTGACTACTTGGGGGCATGTGTTGCGTATTTTGTCACGTCTCGCCGAACATCCGCCCGTAGGGGGACATGCCCGGCCTAAGATTAAGTCGGGCCTGTCCCTCTACAGGAGGAGAACTCAAAAATAGTAAAAATAGTCTGGGGACTATTTTTTTTGTATGTTTGACTATTTGGGGGCATAGTTTGTGTATTTTTCCCTACCTAGGCTCTGCCTAGAGGGTTCTTACTCTCTTTCTTAAAGGGGCCAGGCAGTGTTCCTCGCCCCGGGCGGTTCCCCCGGTCCCCGCCCCGCGGTTCCCCCAGTTGCACCCCCTTACCTTAGCTTTACGTATATCATCTTAGCTGAGCTTAGCTTAGCTTAGCTTCATCTTAGCTTCGCGTAGCTGTAACTTAGCTTAGTTCAGCTTAGCATATCATAGCATAGCCCAGCATAGCATAGCATAGCGTAACATAGCATAGCATAGCAGAGCATGACGCAGCATAGCACAGCATAGCATAGCATAGCGCAGCATAGCATAGCAGATCATAGCCTAGCATAACATAGCGCAGCCTAGCGTAGCATAGCATAGCGCAGCATAGCGCAGCATAGCATAGCATAGCATAGCATAGTGTAGCATAGCATATCATAGCATAGCACAGCATAGCATAGCAGCAAAGCAAAGGCAAAGCAACAGCAGCAACAGCAAAGCAAAGCACAAGCAACGCAAAGCAAAGCAAAGCAAAGCAAAAACAAAAGCAAAGCAACGGAAAGGCAAAGCAAAAGCAATGTGCAACAGTACGATCAGAGAGCCCACCCGGTGAGCGAATGCGAACACATGCGCGTGTGTGTGCGAAGGCAAAGCAAACGCAAAACCAAGAAAAGCAAACACAATCAAAAGCAAAGGCAACTACGACGATGAGGAGAAGGAGGAGGACGGCGTTTACCGTTACTACTAATGCTGCTTTATTAGGGGCTCCAACTCCTAGGTAGGGTCGCACTGGGGTAATTGTTTTGTCCGTCGAAAATCCCCCTGTAGGGGGAAACGCCCGACTTAAACCTAAGATCGGGGGTCACCGCGCGGTTCCGGGACTCGGGCCGCTCTCCGAGGGCGTCTCTCGGGTGACCGCGGCTTCCGAGGTCCCCAGGCAGAGAGGGTGGTGACGGACCGTGCGGTGAGGTCTCTGCGGATTACGAGGTCTCCGCGCGGCCTGTCACCACGCGGTGTGCGGATCCCCAGTCGAAGGCCCGTGCTGGAGGTTAGCACCCACGCCAACAACTGCGGCTGTCTCCACCGAGGGAAGGTGATCCTGAGCTCCGTGCTGGCAGCAGCAGTCGGGCCTGTCAGGCGGCCGAGAGATTACCGCCAGCACCAAGATTCGGGATCGTCTTCCCCCCTGGAGGCAACCCACTGTGTTGGTGGTGGTACCAATTTCCACGCCCCCAGAGGTGTTCGATCATGCTCCTCGATCCTCGATCCTCCCCCTCCCTGTACCAATCGATGTGTAGGTTCCAGGTTTGAGGGCGTTCTCGCTGGTTCCTATAGGTTGTCCTGCCTCTGGGCACGTTTTAGCAGCTGTGCCTCCGCGAGAGCGTTCCGTGTTCCCAGCATCGTCCCGAACGGCCACCGAGACCCGATTTATAACCCGAGGGCCAAATGACTCTACTGGGTCCATTTCGATCCGATCGATCTGGTTCGATTCCGGCCCGACGTTGCACTATCCGACTTGAAGCGGCCCGGTGATGGCATAGCGCAGTTTTTTACATCCAGGCGCAGCCTACCCAATCCGATTCCGATTTCGAGCCCACTCGACCCGATCCGCGATTCGACCAGATTTTCCGATCCGATGTTGACTGCTCATGTCATCTCTTTCTCCTTCCTATTCCTCCTTGTCCTCCTCCCTCCCCCTTCTCTTCCCCCTCCTCTTCACCGTCCCGTTCCCCCTCCCCAGAGCAAACGCCACATCCGACCCACGTCAGGCGCGAGCAACCATTGGTCGAAGTTCGGGGGTCAACGATCGGATCAAGGGTCGAAGTCCGAGCATCGAGGCGCGAGGATCGGGGTTCGGGGATCGACGTCCGAAGATCGGCGTCCGAGGATCGAGGTGCGAGGTTCGAGGTTCGAGGATCCGGGTTACGGTGCCTCCGCCAGTTCGCAGAGCAAGGTCTGGGGATGCCTGGATGTTTTTCGCCCCCTCTGGGCCTCCGGGAGGCTTCTCGTCAACGGCGAGATCCCCCTCGAGATTCTCGCCCAAGCAAAGCACACCGCAAACGAGGTCGCGAGGCCTGGCTTGTTCGGGAGGGCCGTCAGATCCTGGCGTGGACGTGCCCAACCCATCTGCAGCAAGTGGCGGCATCAGCGGTCTCAGCCAAGACGACTGAACATTTGACAAGGCGCGTTGATTTTTCGGCGGGATGCATTGGGATTCTCTGCCGTGCGCTTCCCAAGAGGGCTACAGTCGAGCTCCGTAGCAATTTTGGCTCAAGCCATTGTGTTCCAAGGTTTTTTTTTGTTTGGAGGGGACGGCGATCGCTGGCTCTTGTGATCCAGCACCCTCCTCCCTGCTAGCTTGGCAGCCATGCTGGTCCGCTCGGCGCTGTTCCTCGGCCTCGCCTGCACTGGAGGTGCGGCGCACGGAGATGTCCAGGGGGTGGTGAACAGCACCGCGCAGGTGATCAGGTCGTTGCAGGAGCAGGGTGATCGTGCCAAGCGCCGCTTCACAAACGTGTCGAAGTTCGAGCGCCAGCTGGATCAGATCGGCCATCGCGCGGAAGCGGACTTCGATGCGCAGTTGTACTCAAGCAAGACGAGAGACTACGCCGAGTTGGCGGAGCGGGCATCTAAGAAGGCCGCGGAGGCTTCATCAAGTACTAACGCAACCGTCGCCGAGGAGCTGAGCGATGAGGCAGAGGCGCTCTTGAGGAACATGACCAAGGTAGGCCTTGAGCTCGACGGAATCGAGCAGGACTTCCGTGATGAGCTGAAACGCGCACTGGGAGCCACGTTAGATCCAGAGCTCGCGGCCGCAGACAGTGTTACCAGCGAGGCCTCGCATCTGCAGAAGAGGTCGCATTCGATGATGGACCCTCTTTATAGCTGGGGCGACGCCGCCGAGGATAAAGCGGACAAGTTGAACGACCAAACAAACGACGCTATGTCTGCAGTGGACAAGATTGTGCGCCCCTACCGTCGTGACGTTGCCCGCCATTCTCGTGAGGTCCAGAGGTCCGTCGAGCGCAAGCTCTTCGAGAGCCGCGATCGCACCGCCGTGTGGCGCAAGGCGAACAGGCGCGTGCGCGCTTCTACTTACCATGCCTTGCGGCTGCGAAGCCTCGCAGACGCCAGCACGTTGAGCCTCCAATTGAGCTCCGTTGGGGGCGTTGCGGTGCTGACAGTGACCACTGCGGTGGCAGCGGCTGTTGGGGCCCTCATGGGCTTCGCGGTGCAGAGGCGGACAGAGCAACGGAGCGACTACCAATTTCTGTCTGCATGACCTTGTGCTGAATGATGAATGGTTGTTCCCCCTGTTTTCCCATACTAGGGCCAGTCCGGCATGTCTGCTGCCAGCGGGGTGTTGTTTCCTGTTGCCGACGCGACGGTTTTGTCTTTAAATCTTTCTCAGCCAGGGAGTTGAAATAGCCTCGTAGGTTTGGAGTAAGGTTTTGCTGTTCCTTTCGACCAGATGATGGAAGCCCCAATCCTGATGGTAGTCTCCATCTTCTTGGATCACTTGCCTTGGATACCTGCACCATGGCATATAGATTTGTTGACTGGTGTACAGTACAGTCTCCTGCGTACGCGAGCAGAACAGCATGTCGAATAATAAGAAAAAAGAGGGCTACAGTCGAGCATCTGATTCAGACACTTCCTCCCGAAAAGCTTGGCCAGCTTTTCTTAACCGACTTGCCGAAAGCTATCCCCCGTTTTTTGAGCACGGTCGCCCCTCCAGCGTTAACAACCGAAATTGGCTCAGACTTTTCTCGAGGAATTTCTGGGAAGGTGGCCCCGATGTTTAAACGATTGTATTATTGATCAGATGTCCGGCTACATAGGGAACGGCACCGAAGGACAATTCATTTCAGCAGGCGTAAGGCGTCACTCCGCTGGACTTACCATTAACTTACGAACCCAGCGCCCAGGGAAGGACGTCTACATCGATCCGCGTAGAATGCAGCTCCACTGGACCTCCTGGTGACAGTTGCGCAGCTGGCAGTGCCCAGGGAGAGGAGGGCGCATCTGGGCCCTCTTGTTTTAGGATTCGGTCCGTGGGACCTCCAAGGAGCTTGCGGAAGTGCCGGCCGTTGCGCAGTCAGCGGCGCCCACGGAGGGAGCCATCGTCTGGATTTGCGCAGCGCGGCGCCCCGCTGATCCGCCCAGGAGCACACGAAAGCTCAGACAGCTGCGCCGGTGCCAGCACCCAGGGAGGGGACAGCAGTCAGGATCTGCGCGCGGCGTCAACCCGCCTGCCCGCCCAGGAGCTCACGAGCGTGCCTCAAGCAGAGGCGAAGCGTCCTGGCTCGCCTATAGCCCCACCAAACAATTTCTAAGAACCTTTTGTGGTTTCCGCGAAATGTTCTTAGAGCATTTCTGGTTGATATTGTCTTGTTTAAAACAACGGGCTTATGTTCTAAGCACATTGTTGTTGTTCTTAGAACATTTTTGGGTTCTAAGAACACTTCCTGGTATGACTATAGGAATGCCGGGACGGTCGGTCCCTGCTCAAGTGCCGACAGCCGCACACGTGGCAGCGCCCAGGGAGGGAGTAGTAGTCTTAAGTCGGGCATGTCCCTCTAAAGGAAAACACTTCAAAAAATAGCGGGGGACGATTTTTATCTTGTGTGTCGAGCAGGCTTGGATATGTTTTGGCTACCTTGTCGTTGTCCGCCAGCATCCGCCTGTAGGAGAACATGCCCGACCTAAGAGTAGTTAGTAGTCTCGGAGTTGCCTAGAACAGTTGCGCAGGTGGCAGCGCCCAGGCAGGAGAGTAAAAGTTAAGAGATAGGCGTAGCACCCCGCTCCACGTCTCCTCGTCCTCCTCGTTCTACGTGGCACCCCATTCAAGCACAGACTGCCACTCGCTCGCGGCACCGTCACACCCACCCACAATGCTATACGGCGCGGAGACATGGGCAATAGCATAACCTCTGAAACAACAGCTACGCCGCACGCAACGACGGCTGGTCAGGGCGATTATCGGGACACCGCTGCGACGCACGACAGCAGCATCACCAACGCACGTCACCCCATCGACGGGCAGTTCTGGCGATCACAACCTCGACGACGGCGACGCCTCTAATGACCCCAGCGACCATGACGCGTCCCGCAGCCCGCCAACCCTACCAGACCGACCCTAAGCAAGTGAGGGCAGCATCGACACACCAACCGATTCAGACACACAGACAGGCGACAGGCGATGCCCAACGATGTTCTGACTATATCCGCAGGAGCACCCGCAGAGCTGCGCAGTCCATGAAGATGCACAACATCCCAGACGTGGCACAGACGCATGCCACAATGGCCTGGCGCTGGGCAGCACGTGCTGCCACCCACCCACCCAGCAGGCGGACGCGACGAGCGCCAGATTGGAACCCTGATGTCAAGCAGCATGAGTATCGACAACAAGGCGGCCAGCACAAACGCTAAGACGACGAGATGCGGAAATTTCTGCACAACGTGCATCGACACGTTAACGATGATAACACGCAGCGCGGCACCAGCGACACCACCCGGTACGTCCACCGCGACACCAACGACGCAAGATGAATCGCAGAGGCCACGGGAACGACATTGTGAAAGTCATTCGAGAGCGCCTTCGCCACGATTTCCGTATGATGTTACAAGCTGTTGTATACCCACAACGTGGTAGCATTGACAGAGCCGATCACCCGACCACCGACCAACAATCGATTACTTGCGCCCTGCGCCAGCAAAAACACCAAACCCCGTACAGATTTCCAGCGCCGATTCCACGACGACGCCGATTACAAGGATTCCTCCTCTCCCTCCTCCCTGGCCTACATAACGTGTTCTATGTCTCGCTTGCATGTCTCAACGCACACAACAGTATCTCGAGACTACGGCCTCACCCACGAGGTCTCACGAGGCCAGGACACGTGTCCGCATGTGTGGGTCGTTCGTTCGTTCGGGGTGAAAGGCTGTTTCCAGAGAAGGGGCAGAGATCCATGGAGGCCCACGTCACGAAACAACATGTGACGCCGGAGGAGGGGAGAAGGGGAGGACGGAGGAGTAGGACCAGGAGTTGGAGGAAGATTTGCAGGGGGGGAGGAGCAAGAGGATGGAGGTGAGAGAGGTTTGAGGAGGAGGAGGAGGAGGTGGAGGAGGAGGAGAAGATGAAGGAGGAGGAGGAGGAGAAGGAGGAGGAGGGAGTAAGGAGTAAGAAGGAGGAGCAGGAGGAGAAGGAGGAGGAGGGCGAGTAGGAGGAGGGCGAGGAGGAGGAGGAGGAGGAGGGAGGAGGGAGAAGGAGGAGGAGGAGGAGGAGGGCGAGGAGGAGGAGGAGGAGAAAGGAGGATGGAGTAAGAAGGATGAGGAGGAGGAGAATGAGATTATATTAGATTAGACTCTGCGTTGCGCGCTCACTCCAATCTATCTCAGGACATTGACCTGCTTTGCCAACTTAGTGTGGCCTGGAGCTCGTCCTTTCTCGAGCGCCCTGAGATATTCCAAGCCCGTACGTGTGGGGGCCTGGCATTCTGAAATGAGTTTGCCCGTGGTGCGATAGTGGTCGGTTCCGAGCCCACCGCACCTCGAGCAGGCGAAAATCCGCTCCTTCAACGTCCCCGCCCCAACCTCCCACCACCGCATAGTGTGAGAGGGATGCACTGAAAGGCCTCTCCTACGAGGCCCCACCTCCCGCGGGGCACTCGATGCGGGGCCAACGATGAGCGAGGGGTTGCAAGGGGAGCGAAGCCACTTAATTACAGTACCCTTACCCCTGGAGTGAGGCTCCGAGGAACATTTACGACAACGCCACTGCCTACGCAGACGACCATTGACCCAGGAGCTCTCCAAGAGGGTGGCTGTGCACGGTAACTCCGCCGACAAATCAAACTTCTTGCTGATTGGTCCCTGGGCGGCAGCTCTGGATGATTCTCCCTCTGGGCGGTATGACGGCATCACTGCCAAGATACCAGTCAAACGGGCGCGGATGGCCTTGGCCTCCGTCTCGAGCTCCAAGAGAGAATCTGCTGCCGCACTCGGGACCTGCGCGGCTGGTGAGAACCTATCTGCTAGACCGTCAGCCAGCTCATTGAATTGAAACAAGGCCTTCAAATCGTCTGACGCTCGATCGAATTCTGACCTGGTCGCATGGCTAGCGACCTTCACGATGAGGACGTCACGGGCCCCCCAGAGCTCTCGGACGAGGTGCCAGAGGTCCCGATTCGTCTTCGGCCTCCATCGGGCCTTCGAGCACAGACTGAAAGCGCCACGCTGGACATAGGCGCTGTCGGTGACATATGTCCAATCTCTGCCGGGGGTCGCAAAAAGGGCTTCTTTGAGGGCAAACAACTCCCCTCTGTTGATTCCCTGACGAGGGCCAGGGAGGGCCCCACCAACAGCTCCAGAAACACGTAAAGGCAGAGGCACTTCCCTGGGATCGGCCCCAAAGGCAACAGAGACAACCGACCAGGTGATACGACGCAGCTTGGCGTGGCTAGAGTGCTTTCCCCCCGACGCATCCCCGCTCAGCCAAACTCTCCCGCCCACAAGAAGGGCACCTAGTAGGCTGTGCGGGATCGCGCCTGGCACAGGGAAACTTGGCGCGCCGATCCGCGGGTCTAGCTGGATCTGCAATTCTTCTGGTGGCTCTGGGATGGCCGTCCACTCTCTAGGGATGAGGCCTCGGAGCCAATTGCATGGATGAGACTGAACACCTTGAACTGCCTGGTCTTTTAAATGCTGTGTGTCGGCACAGCGGGGAATATCGTTATTGGCAATTCAGGTCCAGCAGCGGTGAAGGCCGGTCTCGGGTTCAACCTCACAACGGGGACACAAGATAGAGTCGACCTTCACCCCCGCCTGGGAGAGCCGAGCTTTGGGCCAGAAGCCCGCCGTCATGACCGTGCTGAGGGCACCTCGAAACTTGTTGGATCCCTTCTTGGCCAACGCGCGCATCATTTTAAAAATATCAGTGGTTTCGGCGCCCTGCTCTAGGCCCCCCCCATTATAATGTTTTGCAGCGTGGGCCCAGACGGAGAGCCTCAAGGTGTCTCTGAAGACCTCCAAGAAGGGCTCCCAGTCAGGGTCCGAGTCGAAAGTATCTTCACTCACCTCATACATATCGCCTGTGGGGTGGGTCCACTTCCACGGTCCCTGGGGGCCCCAACCCGCGGACAGCAAAACCGAAATCGTGCCCGAGATCAGGCCGTTGATCTTCCTCCACTGGCGGTTCTGAGGGGCGGCGCGCAAATTCTTCAAAATGATCGGCCACGCTCTGGCCGCTCTCTTCCTGAAAGCTCCTGACGAGGCGAGCATTTCAAATCACAAACTGATGGTAGCAGTGGGCAGAGAGATAGCAGGGTCCTGGCCCCCGTAGTCAATGTGCAACGCCGTGGTCAGACATCTACCTCGAGCTTTCGAGGTGGCGAAACGACCGAGGGACCTGCGGAGCTGGAGGAGGGGCTCGGGAGAGAGGGGAATGACCTTGGTGCGATAGCCAATCCTAGGGATGATGCCAGCGGTGGCAATCCGGCGAGCAGCACGGGAGCCTGGCGTGCCACGAGCGATCTTATTCAACTTCCGAGCCTGCCATGAAGCCAACTTTTGCCTCGCGCGATGCTTGGAGGCCTGGTGCAAACGGCGGTGGCCTCTCTCGATGCCGAGGTCCGCAGCAGCTCCGAGATTCTTTACCTGTAGGCCAGCTTGTTTTAAGGCCGAGGTGAGCTCTGCTG